TTGCAATGTGAACATACAGTGGCCTGAATTTCTCTCCCAACAATTGAGAGCGAGATCAGTGAATACCGGTCACCTGATTCATCCGAGGCAGATCTTTGATACTCTCTTTCTTTGGCTCTTTTTCTTTGGCCCACATTCTCAGATAATACTTATAGTCCTTCGGCTTCTCCTCTAAAAACACAAGACACTACCATTAAAACAACAACCAGATTAAAACGGATTCCTTAATAGAGTCATCAATTGGCGAGTATTATCACCTTTTCTCTCATCCGTGTCTCCGGCCGCTGATGCGTCTCCTGCCTCCTTCAGCTCCTCACCTGTTATGATATTAATGCTGAATTAATAAACGCTAACATCATAATGACATTTAGCCATTAACCATTTAAAAGTGTCCACCAGAAAGCTTTCATGACATCAACGCCCATGGTTAAAAATGAAAAGAGCACCACAAAGGTAAGATAATATCATGTGAGAGACAGATGGTGAACTGATACTGACTGCGAAACACCAAAACCAGAGGTGGTTAGTGGAAAAAAAATATATAAAAAATTCTCATCTGTTCTGACAGCATCATCTGATGCCTAAAAACACCAGCGAGACAGAAAACACTCTACGTGACAGACACAAACCTGAGGTCACTTCCTGTGCCAGGAAGTCCAGATGAGACAGGAAGGGAGGATCTAGAGTGATCAGATGAGAAAGACAGAAAGAACAAGAGAAGGAAAGAAAGAAAAAGAGAATGAGAGAAAGCAAGTATTAGAGTTAAAAGAGAGAAGGTAGACAACAAATGAGGAAAATAAGAGTGCAGAAGATTAATAATGAGTTATCAGTCATTAAACCTGGACCGAACCATCCACAGGTACATGCAGGGAGATCAGAAAAGTCCAAACATGTTCATTAAAAATAAACTATTCATAAAACTAAAAGAGAGTATTAATAACAATTACATTTTTTTGGAATACATTGAATATTCTCTCATATACTGCGTTTCAATACAAGTGAAGCTCTATCAGCAGTACAACAGTAAATAAAAGAAAAAGAAAAACTGGCTTTTAAAGTCAGCATGAAACTTTACGACTGCACTGTACATTTACTACATAATACTACCATTTTTTTTTTAATAGTTATCAAACAAGAACCAACTTTAAACCCTTGAAGTGCCTGACCTGGTTTACTCTCATTGTAAGTGCATTATTGTAACCATGTTCTGCTTTTTTTTTTT